GTCTCCAGATTCACTTATGTTTCTTATATCCTGCATACTAACTATAGCTACATACAAGGCCACACTTAATATAGCCTTGCTCATTGAGAATAATCCACAGAGTAAGCCTATTAGGTAAGGTTTAGCATCTACATTTTTCTGCTCACATCTGCTTGCCTGACATATATAATCTGCCTGGATGTCACAGTTTACATCCTATTTTCATTGGATGATAATGAAACTTGATCAGTGTCTTCATCTCCTTCTCTGTTTCTCCAAGAAATAGTTCTGCTTGTCAGCTTCCCCTTACCAGGAATCTCTGGTGTGACCTGTAGCCAGGTCCTTTATTAAAGGATGCAAGGCTTGAAGGCAACTGTACAATTTATCATTGTGCAAAATGTTTGCAGAAAGTGCTACTTAGAAGACAGTAAGGAAATAAAAAGTGATATAGCAATTTTCTAACCTGGATTTTCTGTACTTCCTTTTCTCTTACAAAGGTCTGGCGTATCACTATTTTAGCAGCAATAAGTCAGAAGTTGCTTTCTGAAGACTTAGGTTTCTGCTGAAGTCTTATGAAACTGAACTGTAGGCACCTCAGTAATTTTAGAACAGCTTAGTCGGAGAGGTAAATTAAAATTAGGGAAAATTAGACCATTTCTAATGAGATGGTTATTACACTGAATAATGATGATTATTGCTTCTGCTTAATAAAACTGTCAGCCAGTGCAAAATATATATTAAGGGAAATTACATTACATTATATTTCTATCAACTCAGAAATTCAGTGTGTTGCTTTCCCAAAAACCATGGAAATAATGAAATGTTAGACAGAGCTTCCTTTTCCAAATAGGATCAAACATGGAGCTTTCAGAAACAGTCCTTGAAAGCCCTGATTTAAAGCCCATTAAATCTAATGTTGTGAAGATTTCTGCTGACTTCTGTGCCATGTAGATCAGGACCTCACTAAAATGAGCAGTATTCCCCCTGTTGTCTCTACTAAATACCTAGACAACACCACACGGTGAAAGCACACTGAGCTCAATGCTTGCTGGCACAACTTCTGTTCTGATTTACCTGGCAAATTAGGAGATGGACTCCATAGGCTGAGACACTCTGTTATTCCCAAGGTGAAAACAAAGAGGAATATTGCCTATTATCTATCTAAAAATTAAATCCTGCTGTAGAAACCTTGGCACTGAAGCCCCAGACACTTAAAGGTGAGGCACCTCCCTAGAAGCCTGTCCAGAGACATGAATGACCAGGAAATTCAAGTGCTCAGCATATTTTTTTTGTTTAAAAGTAGGCACCATATCAAACCCTGCCTTCAGCAAGAGCTGCTGTCCTGAGGAAAGAGAGCTGGGGTGGCTCTCTGTGCTGGGAGTCTGTATGACAGTAAACTGCCAAATGGGCAAGAAGAAGGGGGGTGGGAAGTGAAGAGTGCATTCCTACTACCAGCCCTTCTCTGTGTAAGGCACAATCTAAAAGGATATGTTTTTGTGGAATAATTTTATATAAACTAAGCCACATTTTTCTTGCAGAAAGGTGTTTATTGCAGCTGCAGTAGCAGTAAATTTTACAGATTCTGAGAGAGATTAAATAAGTGTCAAAAACTGCATGACTCAATACACACCTATGCACACTGACCCAGTGAACCAGGGCACTGAGGTGAGCAAGTCTTTCTGTGGTGCATATTAAAACCTGGAGAAACAGAGATTTACCATAAAATTTTATTTTTTGAGAGCACTATTCTATCCTTATACAAAGAGCAATATATTATCTTAAATGAGGATGATTAATTAGTCACAGCACATGTGTTTCTCAGGTTTTCAACACGTTTTAAAACATTTACTAATCAACAAGGTTTCTCATTTTATGAAGCCCATTTTGTGGAGTTCCATAAAACAAGTTCAACAGTCACAATTTCATTAGCATTATATTGTTGCCATGGTAATGAGGTACCAATTCAATTGATGGGCTTTTCATCATGGGCCTATAGAATTGCTCTTCCTGTCAAAAATACATCTATATGGAAACAGCAAACAGACCTTACCACTGCAGTATGAGCACAAAATATCACATGCTAATTTGGCTAGGAATGTATCATGGTAGTGGCAGCAGACCCAGAAATCATCAGAGATATGGTAGAAGTTACTAAGCACCATACATGGCAAAGTCACACTTTAAAATTAGGAAAGTTACATTGTTTGCTGCAGTATCTGAACGTGTTATTGCAAAAGCACTTGGCTCTACTGTGATCATTCTCTGAAATCCTGTTAGGAGGGCAGGGTGCAACTGGGAATACTGGAGGAAGCAAAAGGAGTAACACACTAAAGAATAAAATGTGAGCTGAAGGTGTGTTGGTCCTTCTCCCATTCTCATGTTCCAGACTAATTGCTGCCAAATGCAACACCTTGTTTCTCTGCTCTGTAAAATCAGCATAATGCCCCCTCTGCCCCTGAGCAGAGTATCTGGTGTATACCAGATAGTGAGTGATGGCTGGTACTGCTAAACACTGTCATTAAGTAAAGTAACAGCTTTTAACAGCTATGGGGAAATGCTCTGCACAGATCTACAATTTGAGAAGTGTCACTGGCAGGATCTGGACTCACCCAGGGAGATGCAGAAGAGATGACAGACTGAGCAGGTAACAGTACATATGAACTTATGGAGGAAGGATACTCACATCATTAAAAAATCATGACAGTTCGTAGTTTCTAAAAAAAAAAAATATTGTAGGCTACAGGATTGCTGCATCCACAGCAATCTGAGCAAGGGATACAAAATAAGGCAACAGCAGGGTGGCTTGTCTATCATCTGTTAAGACAGTTTCTTGTGTATTTGCACTGGATTTTATGATTCTTTCCTATTTAGATAGGAAAAATCTTTTACCATCCTGACACATAATGTTCAGTCTATCATTTCTTACCTTAATCATGTTGTGTCCTTTGCAGCAGCAAGGGTAAATTACAGACGGGATAATATTCAGTATAATCAAAGATGTGTTCCACTTTACGTGATAAGTTTTGTCTGATTTACAAAAGTGGTATCTTCTCCAGCTGAGTGAGGAAAGAGAGACTTTAACTTGCAGATAAAAAAACTCAGAGAAGAGGCTTCTCCTCCATTAGGAACCTATTGTTCACACACAAAAAAGATAACTGTTGTTACCACTATTGCCTGTTTATTTACTTTTACCATGATATAGCCACAGGACCCAACTGAGACTGGGACCTACTTGGCTAAGCACAGCAAAACCACACAGAGTTCTGCAGTCTCTCCTTCAGACAATTTATAAGGCACAAGAGAGGCTAGAGAGGAAAGAAAGAGAGAGGGAGAGACAAATAACTCTCTAGGTCAGAGAAGTCAGTGGCAGAAGCAGCACATGTCTCCAGACCATGTACCCTCAATTGGGACACCTGTCCTGGTGAGGAAAGGATATATTTGGAGATATCTTGAAGTCAGCTGTGAAGCCCACCCCTATTACCTATTAAAGCACCTTCAGGCTGGCTCCAGGGCAACCCTGGTAATCCTCTCAGGGACAAAGGCTCAGGAATACCCTATGTTTTTTTGAGCATGTTCAAGGGCACCAGGGTCAGGGTACCTGCCAGAGAAATATTAATGGGTTTCAACACCATAACTGAAGCAATAGGGATCAGGCTTTATTCCTCTGGAGTAGGGACTTCCAAATCCAAGCCTGAACAGATGGAGGGAGGGGGGAAAAGAGAGGAGATTTTGGTCACAAGAATAAGAAGTCAATTTACATCAGAATTTGAAAGCTTTGATCAGGAAGTAATATGACGTCTTAAATTAGGAAAGCATTGGTTTGGAGTTTTTCTTGCTTTCTTCTCTCTCTGTGTCTCAAAAATCTATATAAAGTAAACCCGTTAAACTCTCGGTGAAAAGACATTCATCTTCTGGTCGGTAAATACTTCCTTGTGCTGTGGGGTGCCTGCTGACTTTACTGCTGTTGCAGCCTTTTAAAATGCTTCCAGGAAATCTCATTTGATTTTAACTTTAATTTCTTTTTTTTATTAAGGAATCCAAGGAGAGTTTATAATAATCCCAATTTAACTTTTTAATAAAAACTGCAAATAATAGGCCAGCATAGATTTGATCTCATATACATATCTGATAAAAATTCTGATCTGTAGTAAAATTTGTTAGCCGGGAGTCTGTTGTCATCATATTAATGAATATAAAAGCTGGCAGCTTCAAAATTGCAATATTACAGTAAGCCTACTTTTTTTTTTTTTTATAATGGTTTTGCGTTGTGCATTCAGTATTGATGAAGATTAAGATTTAGCATGCAGAAGTAATATCCATTATAATGGGATTGTCCACAGTGAATTGAGTAGGACATTTGCTTAATTAAAAGTATTTATCTTAGATGATTTAAGAACTATGTCCTACTACTGAACTGATGATGTAAATTAGTTTCTTATAATCAGCTCACCACCGATGACTTCTTATACTAAATAGAAGAAGAAAAAGGTAAGAGAAGAGTCAGTGCAAAATAATAGATGCTACTGCCTGACAATTTAAAAGAACTTAAGAAATAATTATTAACTAACACTATGCCATGAGCAGGAAATATACATAATCACACCCCTAATGCAGAGACCAAAGAGAGCCCTAAAAGGCCGCACTTCAAGCAGAAAGTTTGGAGGTGAAAACATGAACACATACCCAGACTGGCACTTGTACCCACTGTACCTGTGCCTCAGAGGCACTGGTGTTTGGAGAGCAGAGCTTGGGGATAAGAGCCTGCAGGGGCTGGGCAGGGCATTTCCCTGCCCTTGGGCAGGAGGCTGGGAGCTGAACTGCTGCGGCTGGAAAACTGGGGCAGAATGGAGAGCAAGGCCAGAATGCCAGGGAGGGCAGGAACTGGTGTGATCTGCTCCTCAGGGTGGTTTTAAGTGTGCTTATAAAGACATACTGGGTGGTTTAGTCTTGTATATACTTATATATACTTTAAAGGAAGAACCCCTATGGGTGGAATGTTTCAACCTCTCTCACTTTTACAGCCCTACAGCCTAAGTTTCCTGGAGTAGTCCACCTTCCTTCCTTCCTCGCCAAATGATGCAAGGAAAGCTGTTGATCTTCAGTCTGTGGAGACAATCTAACATCAGCAACTTTCTGGGGGTGCTGCTACAAGGTAGGGCCACATCTAACTCCTTCGAATCATCCCTTCAGCTCAGGTGTGCTACTGAAATGAAAAGCTCGTGACTCCCACTGCAGAGACCTACTTGTCTGCTTCCTGGAAACCCTGCAAAGCTGCCCCTGAGACAACTGGGCCTTCCATCAGCCAGACACACAAATCACTCACTAAATAGTTTTGGCTGAGGTTGTTGGACAAAATCTTCATAGACAGAGCCAAGAGGACAGGCAAGAAATATTTATCTTCTTTGTGCCACAAGTTGTTTTGTCATTATTTCTTCTTTTCTCCTTTTTACACTCCAGGCAATTTTTTCTTTCTACATAGGCTAATAGAAAGAAATGCTGTGGCTTACTCCAGCCATTTAAATAATTTGTTTTAATTCTAATTATGAGCATTCAAATAGAAAGTTACATCTGTTTATATATGTTACACTTCTGAAACACTAGGAAAAATATCAGAGTAATTCTCTGCTAATGCCTAGATGACATTTTAGGAACAGGAACCACCCTGGGAAGGGCATGCACAGGATGGGAACTGTCAGTGGAGTGCATGGCCATGAATCTGGTTTTGATCTGTCCCTGTAATTTTCCAGGTGAGCCTCGGACTCTGCCGACGTCCTCTGTCTGTGCTCCCAGATGACAGCCCAGCGATGGCAGATGGAGGGACATCCCAGGCTGGATGGGACTGGGCCTTTGCTGCTCCCAGAGCTGCCCCACGCCATGGGACCCCCAGCTGCTGGACACCTGACCCAGCTTGATGCTGCTGGAGATGTGTTGGGGCTGGCTCTGCTTGCTGCTGCCTGCCTGCCTTATTCTTTTGAGTTATGCCCCAGCCCGCTCCTGTCCTGTTGTGCTAGTGCCTCCGGGCTGTATTGAGTTTTCAATTATCACAATATACAGTGCAGATGCTATGCAAAACAGCCAGTGTGGCAGAGCATGCTGAACTCAGTAGAAACACAGTTAAATAAAAGTACTACTATAATACCAGGAGGCTGATTGGAACCACAAGATACCAGTGTCATATCCTGTGGCTTTTATGTTGGTAGATGTAGATTTCAGCCATTAAAGTCTAGCTATCCAACAGATAACAACTAGAGAAAATTGATCTGGGTATCTTCAGTTGTGAGTAACTGATATACATTTGCCCATAAATGCAGAACCTGTTAAACTGCGGAAGAAAAAAACATTTGAGATATCTACAAATAAATCCAGGCATGTACTATGGAGTAGGATCTAACTGTGTGCAACTTAAACTCCCTGTACACAAAATACATTTAAAGTGGTACATCAAGAGAGCTCTGACTTCAGAGAACCAGTGTGTGGTTACTTGTCAATTCCAAATTCAGGCAAGGAAATAAACAGCAAATGTAGGTCTCAACCTCTCTATTTGTACATGCAGTAACAAGCTCCCAGATGATACTGATATTGAGATATCTATGTGGGGGTAAAAGACTGACAAAAGAGGAAGAAATAAACAATAAATAAAATAATGTCAAATTTTCCTGTCATTAACTTCTAGCAAAGCTCAACAGCTGGAATTTTAAAATGTCTTATGTAGACAAATGTTAAGAGAACAACACATTAAGTGTGTTTTTCCCAAAGGAAAATGAAATAGGCATAAAGAGAAAATTATTATATTTAGTACTCTCAGGGAAAATTCTAGTTAAGGACTGTGAAATAATTTGAAAATATTAATGATCTAGCCTCACAGCTAGCTTTCAGGTAGAGAATAATGATAATTATTACTATAAATAAATAGTACTATTATCATTCTTGCTCAGAAGAATGGAATATTGATGCATAGAGAATTCTGTCTGTAATCACCCTTCTAAAGAACTATTATATATTAGGATTATCCTTTTCCAAATACTCTTTGATATACTCTTCAGTTTATCAGTTCTAAAAACCAACCAACCAAGCCTCCTTGTGAAACAGTGCCAGTGAACATCTCCATTTGCATGTGAATTCTCCAGCAGCAGTCCTGCTTTAAAAAAAAAAAAAATAAAAAAAAAAAAAATAGAGAGAGAGAAAAGGAATCATGAAAATCAGTACAAAATCTGTCAAGGCCCCATCTGTGTCTGGGTATCAGAATATCACTAAGAAGCTCTGAAGAACAAAGTTCATTCCAAGTCTAACACATAGTGCTTTTTGGTCGATGAAATTAATTCAAGCAGGGAGAAATGAGAGTGCACACCATGAAAAACTCTGTTCCTCCACTGAGGATTGAAGGAAAGAAGCATCTCTGTGTGTGGTCTTGGTTTTGGTGTACATAGACATGCTTAAACACTAAAATAATCAGCATGTCTCATTTTGATAGCCCGGTATGCCTGCTGCTCCTCTGAGGAGTGCCAGGGAATGAGGGACCTCTGACAGGATGAGGACTCAGATTATATATGATTGTTGCAAAAAGCATGATTTACAGCCAGCTACCTGAAGCAGTATGGAAAGAAAAATTATAGTCTCCACCCCGGTCTTGAAAATCCCTTAACAAACATGTTTATTTCCTTCTGAATGGGAATATATAAAGGCTGGGGATACTTACTTGTAGGCTATTTTTGTATCTCCTCTTCAGGATCTGAATCTTGCATATTAATGAACTACAGGAAACAGGAAAACCAAACATTAACACCATTCTAATGCAGCATACTATTTTTCTTTCCCTTTTTTTAACTGTTAGAGTATGCAAATGTTCAGTTAACTGGTCCTCATGTTTTCTCTTTATTGAATTGCTTTCACTATGGCAAATAAATATTCATAAAGAAATGTGGACAATAAATCATTTCAAATAGTTCAAAGCCATTTTCTTTCTAGACTGCATATATTTTCAGCTGTAACTCGCCTTTAATATTTCATTCAAAAGACAGACTTGTAGAAGGACAATAGAGATAATGTGTCAAGTAGTAATTAAAACAGGGAGTAATGATTAAAACCATTTTGATCTACATTGTGCTCTGCCAGATTCATAATCTCCTGTGTTTGTTCAGATGACTTTCTACTTGCTTTATACAGAAACTCAAAATAAACTTCAGTTTGAAGACACTGCAGAAAACAAAAGATTTCAGCCCCAAGCTTGTGAAGTCCAGAGCCCTTCCCAGTCCTGGAGTTTAGGTATATATTCTGTACCATCCTAGCAGATAAACTCAAGCAGGCACTGTCTTTCCTGCTAATATTGTGACTTCTCCAGGAAGCAGATCCAAATGCAGAGCAGAAGACAAGGAGGGGCCATCCCAGTGTGTATAGGTAAACGTATATCTCACCATTTAGATTTAAGCTAAGAGCTTCAAAAGAAATTAAATTTAAAAAATCTGGTTAACTTGTACATTTAAGGATCTTGGTCCAAATCCAAGTAATAATTATGTTATTCGTCTCATTGTATGTTTTGGCTGTTAATACACATATTTGACCCAAATTCATTGTCTTTCCTGATATGTTGCTGACTTTAGGCCCTGATTGAACAGAGAACTTACATACAGACTTAAATAAATTGATTTAGGAAAACATTCCTCTTTGTGTTTAATCTTGGGCAGACATTCAACTTTCAAATCAGTGGGACTTATGAACAGCCCTGACCTTTGGGTCTAAATATTTGCCAAATCAGTGCACTGATAGAAATATATTGGAAAAGATACATGTCTAATCAGAATTTTAGTCTCTACTTTCATGGGTAAATACCCATAGATAACACATTATTCTGCTCAAGAAATCCATTTTATAGAATTTATCAGAAAGCCTTAAGTCATGTTTTCTGTTTATACCAAAAATACCAGATGAACATTATCATTCCTTGATAGTGTACCTGTACTATTCTTCAAATAAAAAAATAAAAACCAGGAAAAGTGCTGGCACAAAAGGGCATTCATAATTATTTACTAATACCTTCTCAATTACCCAGCATGTGGCAATGCTTTGGAGAGCAGGAAGATGGAAGGTGAGGCAGAGAGGTTCTGATATTCGACTGACTTGAAGACAATTGCATATGAAATACCACGGGAAACTCCTTAAAACCAGCATTTATAAGGGCCATTTACATACACATGGAATTTTGAGTGATCACATATTTTTATTACACAATGAGGGCAGCCAGGGTAAAACCATGGATGCTTCTGGTAGCACCGTGTAGAGGTTATACAAGTGGATCTATAGCCAAATCTATGGGATTAGAAGAAGCAGCTGGTAAAATAATTGATACTATGATTCTATGAAATAAAATAATCTTCTTGCTGTTGTTAAAAAAACATTTCACACTTTAGTTTTCTTTATTATGTTATTAAGAAGGCAAACAGAGGCTCTCAAACATTGTTTATAGAGTGTAAAAACAGACATAAAAGAGAAAGTAGATTACAACGGGTCCCATTATATCATGTAATTTGAAGAGTGATGAGTATGAAGATCATAAGAAAATGCAGGAAGAATCAATGGGTGCTACATCTCTGTACAACCATAGAGCAATACTGTGATCCACATTATCCCACTGGTTCTGTGGGCAGAGTTTGGGAATAATGCACCAAAAAGCAGATGTTCAGAGTTCACCTGGCTCACACAATCACATGGATCTATCCTAATGCTGCCTACACACACTTTGGAGGTGGTGAGTCGGGAATATGGAGCTGCTCTATTCTACACTCACTGCATGAAAGTTGTGGAGCAGGGCCCTTTTGAGCAAGGGGCAGACTGTAAGGGGAAAGCACAAGAGTCTTATACAAAAAGAAGGAAATTTCCCACCTACTATGCCCCTGGTGAGGGGGGATTACAACAAACACAAACCAGTCACTGCCTCTGATAGGCCCTTCCATATTTAGTCATGAATTGGAGCTAAATTTGCTAATTTAAGTCACCTGCTCTCAACGAAATCAATTTGTGCCTAGCAGGCACAAAAAGCTTATGAAGCTCAAGGTGAGCAGAAATGGGTCCTTGGTGGATGAAAGGCTTTTTCTGGTGTGAGGGGAGGAACTCTTTAATCAGTTCTTTGGTTTTTGCTGAAATCTTACCACTTTAGTGAATTTCATTCTAGAGGTATGTTTTGCAGCTGATTTAAAGAGTTTGGGATTTCACTTTTTTTCATCTTTCCTGATACCTTTGCTTAGAGTGTAGTAATAGTTTGTTTATGCTGTACATAATACACACGTCATAGAAAAAAATGTTCCCTCCTCACTTCACTCATGTTTACACTGTTATATCTTTTGAGAAACTAGAAAATGTCACCAGCTCTGCTATCAAATGTTATCCTTTCATGCCTATTCCTGTTGTCAAAGTTTTTCTCCTTTTTAACTGGTAACTATTACAATTTATGTCTGAAAGTCACTTTGATGAATCTGCCTTTTGACTTTATTTTTTTGGTTTTTCCTACCAATATTGGGTCAAGCTCTAAAATACAATTGATTTGCACTGAGTTTGTCAGAGACAGGCAGACTTTTGAGCTGCTTAATTTCACATCCTAAGCAATTTAGCTTTTTCATTACCCTTTTTACTAAAGAAAAGACTAGTTTACTCCTTTTCAACAATAAGGATCATGTCAAGGCATGCTAATCGTAAGGAAGAAAGTCCTACAGATGCCCAAATTCCTGTGCTTTTAGCAACAGTTTAGCACCTATTATTATAGTTCCCTATGGAGCAAAAGAAGTTTATTGCAGATTACACTGTATGAACTTCAGGCCCTGATGAAGGAGTCAAGCTGATGGGAAATAAAATGCAACACAGATTAGAGTAACTTGATAGGAAATGCTTACCCACCAAAGTGGGGAAAGAAAAAACATTTTCCACTACTAGCATATTTCTTTTTGTCCATGTTTACCTGGAAATTGTGAAGCCACCTGAAATATGCAGGGTGTAAAGAACCCATTTGTATCTTGCATTGTGTTTGAAAAATTTCATTATGGTCAAAGCATCTTTATGGGAAGACTGCTTGGTTTTGAGTTTTGGTTTCCTTTTTTTTTTTTTTTAATTTTCCAGTCCTGTGGTTTTTCTCTAAGCAGCAGAATAATT